AAAAACAGTTGGTTATGTCTGTGAAGGTAAACAGCTGGGAAATAAATTGCATGTTTATTTTAGATCTGTGTGGCAGCAGCAATATACAGTAAATAAATCAATAAATGCACTGCTCTGTTGTCTCTGAGGCTGGGACTCTAAACAGTGTTCTGTGCTCGTCTGTGCAACCAAAGACAGAACAGTTAGCCTGTTTTGCTCAAACTTTCGCCATGGCATTAGAGCTGGTACACCATTGTCGCTTGTAAAATCAAAATGACGGCGCCGTGGGTGGAAACTTACAGATTAAGGGGCGGTAATATTATAATGAGATCCCTTTGTCACGTCACCAAGTGAGCGAAATCAGAAGCGCTCGTTTTTTCAGATGCTTGCAGAAAAAGGCTTACCAAAACAAAGTTACTGGGTTAATACTGGGTTTGTATCATGTAGATTGTATCATACCGCTTAGACGAAGTAATTTTAGTCAGTCTGCTTTTTCTGTTAAAGCTGCACGAGAATGGAATACTATTCCGACAACTATACGAGATCTAGACACATATGCTTTATTTAGGGTTCAGTTGAAGAATTGGTTAATTCATACTCAGATTTGTCAACACTAGAATTTTATATTTGCTAGCTATCCTATTATTGATTGTATCTTGTTTGCATTGTCTTTATTTGATCCCATTGTTTTTTAATAGAATACTGTATGATTTGAACTATGTAATTATAACATTTTTTAGTATGTATTTTTAATTACATTTTATTTTAGGGTGACTTGTAACATCTTGTCCAGGGACTATGGATGTAAAATAGGCTTTGGCTAATTCTGGTACATTTACAGGAATGTTTTATTAATGTACAATATCCCTGTCAACTAAATAAATAAATAAATTTTTTTTAAAAATCTTTTTTACGTTTCCTTGGTTGGTAGATGCACCGGGGACCTGATTATAGCACTTAAAACCTGGAAAAGTCAGATTTTCATGATATGTCCCCTTTAATAATAATAAGACATGTTTATTATGCAGCAAATCAGCATATTAGAATGATTTCTAGTATGGATCATGTGACACTGAAGACTAGAGTAATGATACTGAAATTTCAGTTTCACCATGACAAAAATAAAATACATGAAAAATATTTTACAGTAGAATAAGTTATAAGTTTTAAGTTGTAAGTTTTCACAATATTACTGTTTTTACTGTATTTTTTATTAAATGTAGCTTTGGTGAGCATAAGAAACTTCTTTAGAAAAGATTTTAAAAATCTTACCGACCCCAATTGTTAGTGTATGTGCATGAATTGACTAAATAATCAGATTTAAATGTTACGGAATCTAAATAACAGTTCCATCTAAGCTTATGATGAGCCCAATCACAGCCTCTGGCCTCCATCCCCTTTGGACCAGATGATCAAACACTTTCAACCAAGTAAGTTTTGCAGTTTAAGACAGATAGTCAAGAAATTAATTAGGCATGCTGGTTAGATTAGTGCATACAGACATCATCTATCTGATACACAATTAGATTCACAGAGCATTTTCTCTGTGGAAAGTGAGAATTTTCTCTTAGCATTAGGTTGTAGAGCATGAGTGATATTTTTTATTTCCTGCATGATCAACATGTGATTAGCTATTCTGGACCTTCAAGTCCAGAATAATTTTTATGGTACTTTAATAACAAATAATCAAGTACAACAAAAGGCAATTTGAAGTGAAATTTCCCTGACCAGAGGCACTTGATTTCATATACATACACAACTGGTAATTAGGAAATAATAGTCAAATAGTTATTAGATTATTTTGAAAAAGAAAAAGTGCAAATCAGTGACTGCAATTGGCTGGATACCTTTAGTTTGTTAATTCAGTTTTAACGAGCTGTCTAAAACCGAATATTTAGACAAAATTAGAGTTAAACAAGGAAATTGTACAACTCATTTTACTTACAGGCTTGCATCTCAGTCTGCCGCCGGCAACGCTAAACTAGTATTAATACAATATCTCTAATAATCATTCAGGGAAAACTGAAATGTGAAATTCACTTTGCAACCCTAATATTCTTCCATGTACCTGTCTATGTTTTCAATATTGTTTCAGCTTCAGCTGATAAACAAGTTTTAAAATGACAGTTCACCCAAACACTTTCTATTATTTACTCGCGCTCATGTTGTATCAAACCTGTCTAATTTACTTTCTTCTGTGGAACATAATAGAAGATATTTTGAGAAATGTCTCAGTGTTTTTTTTTTTCACCAATGGTCAAGTCAACAGTCATCAAAATGGTTTGGTTACCAACACCCTTCAAACTATTTTAAGTTTCCGTCTTACAAAAGAAAATATTTGGAAATGTTTGGAAAATAAACGGTGAATAAATGACTAAATTTTCATTTTTTATGTGAACTGTCCCTTTATTCATTATTAATATATTATATCAATACAATAAATGTATGTTTTAAGGATATTTTCCTTTCTATTTTTCTCAAATCATCCTGCAGGCCAGGCTGGACACCCTGTTCCTGACTATACAATAACATGTAGTGCTCTTAAGCTGAGGCATAGAAGCAATAACGTCCATATCTACAGCACAACATACGCTGCTTTCAATACATCCTCACACATAAATATTTCAGGCATAGACAATGCTGAAACTGAAACTAAAGTCTTAATAAAGATGTGTTTGAAGCGTTGGCTTTACTTTGACCCGAGAACAGATCTGCTTAAAATTAAACCTAAATTTAAATAGAAAACACTAATTAAAGCTCAACATAAAAACAGCAATGATTTCAGTCCATACAGGCAAAAAGGTGTTGTTTTTCATCTTATGTAACCCTAAGGTTGACATATCTGACAGATTACTGTGTGACGACTATGGGTCTTCCCAGACGTAACCAATTCACTCTAAATTGTGCAATGGAGCAGTGGTGCACATGATAGCTCTATTGTTTGTCAATGCAAATGCACTGGTAGATAAATGCCCTCACAGGTACAGTATCTCACGCTTCCTATACTAACAGAAAAAGAGCGAGAAAAGGGCCTGGTGATGACATGTTTATAAACTTCATGGCAACTAAGTATAAAGCTAAGATCTATTAGAATGATCTACATAAAAGAGATTCATAAGAACAGCCATGATATCCACTGTAAGATGTCATTTGCTTTGTTGGGGTTACTAATAGGCTTGTTACACCCATTTAATTTACAAAAGGTGGATTTAAAAAATCTGATCGACAACTACCTTGACCATTACACACATAAACAATACAGCTGAGTTACTTACATCCATTTCGATCTAAGCAAGAGCTAACAAAGTCGGCTGCTAATTGGACTTTTTATTAAAACAGGACTTTGACGTGAAGCAGATAGTTAACAAATAATTATTAAATATATATGAACTATTGATCTGAATTTAAGTTATACGAGTTAAAAAGGTTACTTACCAAATTAGCAAATACATGGGCATTAAACATTGAATTTGTACTTGAATTATTTTAGTAGAGTACTTGTAGAGATACAGAACAGTTTCCCAGATGAGTGGCTATTTATACAGCGATGTTTCTGACGATTTAACGACAGAATGCTGCGACTGACCAATAAAAATACAGTGTAATAAATATGTATAATTCTACATAATTCAGATTTCATAATTCTGCCATTTAAACAATTAGTGCATCATAAAATGTGTGACTACAATACACTTAAAAAAATCAGGGTTATCAGGACTTTGACGTGAAGCAGCTAGTTAACGAATAATTATTAAATATATATGAAATCTTGAACTGAGCTTAAATTATATGAGTTAAAAAAAGGTCGCTGCGGTGTCCAGGAACACTAAAGAAAATACTGACCTGAATACTGATACTTTATATTTCCCTACTTATTACAACGATACTTATCAAATGAGCAAAATATGGGCATTACTTGTAAAGATACAGAACAGTTTCCCAGATGAGTGGTTATTTATACAGCTACGGCTCTGACGATTTGACGACCGAATGCTGTGAATGACCATTAAAAATCAAGTATTCCAAAGAGTTGTTTAGAAAAATGTATAATTCTACATATGATTTAGATTTCATAATTCTGACATTTAAACAATTAGTGTATGAAATGTGACTTATCCAAACATATTAAGCATTTAGGTTTCTATTCAAATGTCATAGTTGTTTGTACACATTTAAGACATTTCAAGCATGGCAATTACACGCATATAGCATGTATTCTACTTCAGCTACTTTCTTTTCATTTCAATTCAAACTCGCAAGTTCTAACATGCAACTCAGACCTGTATAATAACTAATGTTCCTACAGAACAGCCTATGTAAACACGCATACAAGAGCTCGTTTTAAACGCTTGTAACTATCGTAATAGCAGAGTTTTCATGGGTAGTACTGTCAAAAGTCAGCTGCACTTGTTTCACGGCGAGCCGGTGCGTGAAAAGTGTGCACACAGCACCAAAACAAAAACACACCTTTGACCAGAGAAAGCAACACTACTTACCGTCTCTGCAGAGTCTCATGGCTTCGCGATTTTTCCCGCACTCTTTCAAACTTTCCTCCAATTCTGTACCTGAGGAAGCGATTTGGATCGCGTTACATAAATAGTTACACTTGCTGGCTTGTTCTCGCGTTTCTTAATATTTCAAAACTGCACGCAATCGGGCAAAAGCTCGCGATCTGACGCGGCTGCCCGCTGAAACGCAATGGCCGACGGCGGCCGATCAACTCACCGTCGCTCCCGTAGAGTTTCACAGCATCGACCCAGCTGCTCCAAGGCTGTCCCAGCATTATTTCAGGACTAGGCAGGGATCTGCGCTCCGCAACAGTCGCCATTGCTGTGGAGGCTTCTCCCCGCTGCTTCAGCTGCCTGGCCGCTCTGCGCTGCTGCTGCTGCTGCTCCCCCCTGACGTCATCATCGGCCCTTTCCGACATTCTTTCCGCTACAATGTAACAACACAGCAGTGAGCGCTTAAGGTGGCCGAGCGGATTCCGTCAATGAATGACATGAGCCGAATACCCGATTCGGTCGTCTTTGGTTCCCCTGATGCGTGCTGCACTAGGCGGCGCGTCTCGAAACGTACATTAAGAGCAGATTACAGAGATAAAAGTTTAAGAACGACCTCCAAACTTCCTTTCGCTGAGGCGTATGTGCTTAATAGTGAGGAAATCTGGGTTTCACTTGCGTGTGGGGAGAAATGTTTACCTTATTGTGCTGTCACGCATATTAAAAAAACGTATATCTTCATAGGTTTCCATTAAAAAGGTGAATCAATTGTCTTGGGAATTCCCCATTTTCCTAATACCGACGTCGACAAAAAAAAAAGAAAACCGGCCACTAGATAATAAATAAGCTACTTTTTCTGAGAAAAACATGATGCCTGCAGTTTGAACGACTTTGTTTGACCTACAACAAATGCTAACCTATTTAATCCCACTAGTAATATTTCTGACCAATATGTGGTGGGGTTTTTTTTTAAGCTTGTGGGGTCTAAAATATATTGTCTGTGATCTATACAGAGTTATCAGCTATAAATCAAAATGCAGACTGTCATTCATGTGATCATTTTTGCATGACGCAAGTCACAAGACCAGAGCTGTTTCATTTCAGTTTATCCCCCTGAAAGGATGCACGTAAAACAATTAATATAGATACAACTACCATATCTGAGACATACTTAAATATTTAGATTATATTTAAATGGTCTATTATCATTTTTATTGTTGCATCATTAAAGGGATAGTTCACCCAAAATCTGTAAGTCAATGGTTTGGTTACATTCTTCAAAATATCTTCTTTTGTGCTCAACAGAAGAAAGAAATTCATACAGGTTTGAAACAACATGAGGGTGAATAAAATGTAAATTTTTGGGTCAACCATCCCTTTAAGATTACTTTTCCATTTAAAACTGGGTAACACTACATGTAAACATGACAGTGGTCACACTCATGACCAGTAAGAAAACCCAGAGTCCCATTCTGGCTGATTCACAGTTACATTAAAAAGCAAAGTAAAAGTTGAAAGAAATACGCTTTTATTCTTGGATCATCGTTCCCTTTTGACAAGAAGTGTTTGATAGTAAAATAAAATATTACATAATAATTGTTTGCAACGTTCTGATGGATCTTACTCAGCAAACTGATGAATAAATAGACTCTGTAGTGTCCTGCTGGTTACATTTGTGACCAGAAATAAAACACAAAGTACTTTCAGTCATTTTTTTTAATGCATGCAGTTTGTTACGTCAAGGAGCAAAACAAATCTATTCACTTCAAAAATCAAGAGTGAAAAAGGTTAAGACAATAGTGCATTTGGCAGGCTATTTTAATGACAGCCATGGATTAATCTTTTGATGCACTGAGCATTGTTTTGTCACACTGGTATTAAGCATATCTAGATCTGATAGATTTTCAACAGAGTAATTTATCTAAAGAACAGTCTGACTCAGTTGCACAAACCTGCATTGCTGCAATTCTTTACCAAACTTCGTAAATTTTCACAAACACCATCTGGTTGATAAAGTTAGAGGTATAGTTAAAGACTATGTTATTAAGTATAAACAAAAAATGGCCTCACTTTTGCGTGCTGTAAAATTAATGTACTCTGATCAGCCACATGTTATGAATCACATTTTGGAGCACAGGCAATGGCAAATAAATTCTAGGCTATACTTAGCCATTTCGCCACTTGCAAGAATGTGTCTCATATACGATCAAATATGTCTGGGCCAATTCATCTAGAATAAGAACAGATAATAGAGGCAAACAGGTTTTAATCGGATGCAAAATAGCTTCAAGTCAAATTTGTGCTTTATGCAGTCATTGCCTAAAGTGTTTATATTAAACACAGTCTATACGATATGCAGAACACCTACTGCAAAAAATGTTTTGATTAATAGGATTTACTTCGTTTTCCCTCCTTGAGTGTATTCTAGTCCTTAAACTGTTTTTAGACTACTGTTTTATAATATGAATCTACTAACAATTTACTACCATACCCCAATAAAGGAATAGCTCACCCAAAAATGAAAATTTGCTGAAAATTTACTCACCCTCAGGCAAGCCAAAATTTTTGTTTGCTTAAAGGGGTCATATGATGCTGCTAAAAATAACATTATTTTGTGTATTTGGTGTAATGAAATGTGTTTATGCGGTTTAAGGTTCAAAAAACACATTCTTTTCCACATACTGTACATTATTGTTTCTCCTCTATGCCCCGCCTTTCTGAAACGCGTCGATTTTTACAAAGCTCATCATTCAAAAAAAGCGAGGTGTGTTGTGATTGGCCAGCTATCCAGTGCGTTATGATTGGCCGAATACCTCAAGCGTGAGACGGAAATGTTACGCCACTTACCATACTGTGATGCCCTGTCCGGCCGGAGCGATGATTCAAAAACATGAAAACCCATTAAAAACGAGGTGTTTATTAACCGCTAGAGTGCCAAAAGTTACGGACTGCAGTTTTAATGGAACAGATTAGAAGAAATTTTGCATTACATCACTTGCTCACCAATTGATCCTCTGCAGTGAATGGGTGCCATCAGACTAAGATTTCAAACAGCTGATAAAAACATCACAATAGTCCACAAGTAATCCACATGAATCCAGTTCATCAATTAATGGCTTGTGAAGTGAAATGCATCGTGTTTGCAAAAAACAAATCCATCATTAAAGGGTTAGCTCACCCAAAAATTCTGTCATTACTCAACGTATTCAGTTGGTTTACGTTCAGCATGCGTGCGCTTTCTACTGGACGTAAACAATGCTGATTACGTTGATTGCGTTCTGCGGTACTCTCCAAAATGGTGGAAGACGGTAACTTGGGGAGAAGAATTGTTGAATAAATTATGTTATTATTGTTTTCTTTGCACACAAAAAGTATTCTCGTAGCTTCGTAAAATTACGGTTGAACCCCTGATGTCACATGGACTATTTTACCAATGTCCTTGCTATGTTTCTGTGCCTTGTTTGTGGTAGTATCCTTGCTGTCTATGGAGGGTCAGAGAGCTCTCAGATTTCATTAAAAATATCTTAATTTGTGTTCCGAAGATGAATGAAGGTCTTATGGGTTTGTAACGACATGAGGGTGAGTAATTAATGACAGAATTTTCATTTTTGGGTGAACTAACCCTTTAAGACGTTTTTAACAAAATGTTGCTTCTAGCTAAAATATGAGTCATCTATCCATAATATTGTTTTCTCCAGTGAAAAGTTGTCAGCAGGAGATAAATATGTACAGGCCCCGCACTGTTTACAAGCAAAAACAGTCCAAAACAGTTCTTAATAAATAAGTTTCTGTTTTTTATTTGACAGAACAACAGGGGGTGGACTTTTTCACTGGAGGAGGCATTATTATGAAATATGTACTGAATTTTGCCCAGAAGCAACAGTTTAAAGTTAAAACGTCTTAATTATGGATTTGTTTATTACAAACACGCTGCTTTTTTCTTTACAAGACATTAATTGATTGACTGAAGTTTCTTGTTCTGATGGCACCCATTCGCTGCAAAGGAAAGCTAAATTACTCAAAATCTGTTCTGATAAAAAAACAAATTTGGATGGCCTGAGGGTGAGTACATTCAGTTTGTGGGTGAACTATTCCTTTTGAAAACATAGTAATACCTGTGATGGACTAAAATGATGAGTTGTTAAAAAGGAATATGTTTAGAAATTGTGAAATTAATCAAATATGCCCTTAAGTTCAATAAAATAAAACCTAGAGAAATATATTCATTATTTCATTTTTGACATAATATTATTTCATACCTTGTCAAAAGTAAAAATTGGAACAAAACTGGTCAAGTCAGTAGATCCTCATCAGCTATGGTGATTCCAGACTGCCACCCAAGCTGGTGAGGGAATCTGCAGAAAGGAAACAGATGAAGGAGCAGATTAATGTTAGCAGCATTATTTTAATACTCAGTGTATAATAATCACAGTTTAGGGAATTAGCCGTTTGTTTTTTGACAGAGGAGCCCTTTATGACCTAAGGCCTGTGGCTTTCTTCTCTACAGTTTTTACTAGCCCAAGATCTACTTATGGAGGAGCCCGTCGCTACAGAGTAATCCAATCCAATAACGACTATCCCCGGCTAACCATCTGAGAGCCCTTCAGTTGACAGCCTGATAATCCGTCTCAGGGATATAAAGCAACCAGTGAAAATGTTTTGACTTTCTAGCATATGCTCAGTGCAACATCAAATTCATTACCTATTTAATAACATAAAATAAGCAGAATTTGCACTCCATGACTTCATCCATTTATGTTAATCAAAAAATGTTTCTGGTACGTATTTTCAGAATAAGTCAGTACAATACCTATCTGAATAAATTATAATAGACATGATGAGTAATTTAAAAACACAGAGAAAATAACAGATATAAACAAACAGCATCATTCTGATGTTAATTGGATGACTATCAGCCTGTTGTTTGTGTCAATGGAAAGTGATGAATGCATTACGCATCAAGTGTCTGTATGAGAGAAATGGAGTCTGATTTATGACTTATGATGAGATGTTGCAAAGATTTCCCCTTCGGTGCGTCTACCATTCTACAGAACTATACAAAAATGGCAGTTTCCAGCACAAACACATCCACTCTTGGTCAACACCTTACAGGGGGTGCATAGAGTTAAACTAAAAACAATTAATATTCCAAATTTAGCATGCACAGCTGAAGCCATGAGTACAAAGCTTGTTTATTGCAATAACTTTGAAGTACTACATGAGATTTTAATTTGAAGAAATAGTCAAACTGTTGTCATTTTATATATGATTCATTTGATATGAAATCACATAAAAACCATATACATATAAAATAAGATTTGATTTAAAATGTTTAGGAGCTAACTGTTTAAAAGCTAATGTTTAAAAGTAGGTTGGCAGATTCTGTAAACAGCCCTAATTTTCCTCTCCTCATTGATTCCCCTTTTTTATAAAGTTTAATTTTCAACTTTGAGAGCCATGAGACTTTTTTGTAAAATGGCATGTCCTTGAAGTTTTACAAGTGTTCAATGCTAATGTTTACTAATTAAAATTATTCTTAAGGCTCCATTCATTTCTAGCCCTGTCCACTTGTTTGCATCCACTAGGTAACTTCAAATGAGCAAGTGCACTTGGGAAAGTGAAAGCAATAATGGCAGGATCCACCAGTCATTAGAATGGCTCCCACAACAACTTTTCCGTAAGGACTAAACATAGCGGGTTTGTCATAGAGCGAATCGAACAAAGTAAACTTGAGTATTAGGTCACCAAAATAAAATGTTACACACATAAGAGGGGGAGGGGGACGGCATCAGGTTTAGCTTCCTCGCTAACTGAGCAGCTGAAGCCAGCCATTGGTGGCACTGCTGTAGCATGCAACTGGCTAACTGGCAGAACAGACATTAGCAGCTGATCTCGATGTCATCATTGTTCTCTTACCAATGCCCAGGACTTCAGAGGTCCCGGTTGAGCTCTAGAGAGAACAAAGGCGCAGGCTTTAGGGCGTGTTGAAAATGAAGATCAGTTCAAAGAGCGAGTGCAGTGCTCAGTAACTGTGGAGGTCTTCACCAGGTGCTTCCATGTCTGTTTACCAGGCAGCATTCTGGGACAAGAACGTCACTGACTGACTCCAGCAGCACGCATGCACCGAGCACGCCTGTCACTGGACAGTCTGGTGGTGTGTCAAAAACGAGAGCGCTGCCTGTCTAGAAAGCATTTCTGGGCGTCGTTCGCGCACTTGCAACGCTCCTGTGCGTTTTGGTGAGTCGTTTGCGCTGTCTGGACGCTTTCGCAGCAGCTTTTCGAGCGTCCCAGACGCGCCCTCGGTGCCTAAATAGGCAGTCTAGGACTAGGTAGGCGGCTCAGTGGGTTTTGAAACACAGCCTGCTCCTGCACTTCGCTATAACGCTTTTGCATACATATGGAGAAGTAAAAACACACTAATCGGAGCCACACGCAGCCGACACAACTTTGAAATGAATTTGGCGATATCATAACGACAAAAACCTTTGCCGTTTAGGGGTATGCTGTAGCGATTTGTGAATCTTACGAGTCGGATCTCTTCAATGAATAAGTTGAACCGGTTCACTAAACCGATTCGACTCGCAATGCAACCGACACGATGAACGAGAACCTTTCGAATACTGAGCCAAGAACCGATAAATAACTGAGCTGATATGAATATAATCAAGTTTCTAAATGTAAATGAATATTTTATTGATGTTCTAAATTACTTTGTTTTATGAGCTGAATCAATCGTTATTTTTGAAATGGTTCTTTAAAATAAACTGATTAGAATGAACCGATTCGCGGACCTACGACCATACTGTCAAAAACTACTTGACTTCTATAGCAAGTCATAAGAGTTTCGAACGTTTGAAAGAGTCATTTGCGCACAATTTTGAAATGACTTTGCTGATGAGAGAAAACCTGGCCGTTTAGGCTGAAACGGTTCGTGAAACTTTTGAATAGGATCTTTCGGAGAATAAGTTAAACCACTCTGAACCGAGAACAGCCTATTTCACATATATGATGTTGTTGTTATGTCGTAAAAGAATTGTTGGATTCCTTTTTAACGGTTCTTGAAAACGAACTGTTCTAATGAACCGATTCTCGGAAATGAGTCGGACTTTCCACCACTGTCAAAAACTACTGAACTGCCTACCTATTCAGCACTTCTGGAAATCACACGAATAGTTTAAACGTTTGAATGAGCAATTTACCCACTACTTCTAAATGACTTGAATAACGGTTAAACAAAACCTTGCCATTTAGGAAACTGCTGTGAATCGTGCTGTGGGGTCGGCAGGTTCGTTCGGCTCGTTTGCTTCGCAACAGAGGCGGGGCTCTGATGCTCTGTGTGTCCGCGCGCGCATGTCAATAAAGTTTTTTCGAATAGTTCAGTGTGCCTTTTGGAGAATGGGTAGCGTCACTGATGGTAAGGATTTATTTGCTTTGGTGTATATTTATTGTTTGATCTTTATGTGGCAAATCAGTGTGATTTATTACAACGGTGCCCGGGTGTATGTGTTTTTGTAGCTAAAAGAACTCACTTAAAAATGAGATCAATATGAGGAATTATAACTAGTTAGCCATGTGATATGCTAAAACTGATGCACTGGTGTGTGTGTGTGTGTGTGTGTGTGTGTCCTTTCACAGATGAGGTTATTCGGAAGCGTCTTCTTATCGATGGAGATGGAGCTGGAGACGATAGGCGCATTAACGTGCTTATGAAGAGCTTTACCAAATGGTGTCATTCCAATTTCTCACCAGAGGAAGGGTAAATAAACTCTTATTATGATCTGTGATCGCTCTAATTTCTTATAATGGTAGTTACCATAGCCTTATGTATAATGACTTGATTGTCTCTGTTGCTGCAGGTTCTCACAGTATCAGAGGATGTTGACATCTTTGGCTCAATGTGAATTCTCCATGGGGAAAACCCTGCTTGTGTATGACATGAACCTGAAAGAAATGGAGAATTATGAAGCAATCTATGCAGATATTGGTAAGACCTCCAGGTGATATGCCTGTGTGACTTTGTCAGGTATCATTAAGATTTGTTGAGTTGCATAGCATAATATTCTTGTTTCTTCTCTTCAATATAGAGAGAAGTATAACGTCAGCCCATGAAAAAATTGCAGAGTGCAAAAAGGAAATCCAGAGAGCAAAAAGGATAAGAAAAAACCGCCAAGGTTCAGTACAGCTTCTTTGGAGAAAACTGACATTCTGTCCTTTCTATTGTTTTCTATTTGGTTGTATCACTCATTTCTGCTGTTCTCTAATCTAATTCTCATTTGTAGAGTATGATGCTTTGGCCAGAGTTATCAAGCAACATCCAGACAGACATGAGACCTTAAAGTAGGTTTGAAATTCATGTGTAGGTCAAATCACATCTGTATTAGCATGTAATATATTTATTACTTGGTTCATTATGTATTAAATCTGTAGTCTGTATATCCTTTATAAAAAATGACAAGCGGGACACCCTACGGCAGGGATGCATATGGACCCACCAGCTATTGAAGTGTTTTTGTGATCTTATTTCTGCAGGCAGCTTGAGGCTTTAGACAGAGAGCTTCAGCAGCTTTCACACATCAAAGAGAATGTGGAGGACAAGGTAAGGGAATGAGGAGTTTCTTGATGGTTTTGTAGAAATACACCATCATTTGCTTAAATATTTACTCAGATCTTTTTTTTAACCATGTTCACAGTTGGAACTTCGTAAGAAACAGTTCCACGTCCTTCTCACCACCATTCAGGAACTTCAGCAGACTTTGGAGAGTAAGTAGTTAAACTGAATAAAGGCTAGACGACCCAGATGTATACTGATTCTAAACTGCTTTGCAGTTACCAGCGATCAGGTTGTAATCATCTTCCTGTTTTGTGGTCTAAATTTGTGTTTGGTTATCTTTTTAGATGATGAGAAGATGGAAAGTGATGATACCCAGGAGAGCTCGATGGAAAATGGAGACTAGACTAACATTTTTCCAGTTTTTCTGGAGATGTACCCATTATCCTGTTATTTTTATTTTATTTTTCATGAACATGTTTTCTAAATTCAGTCTCTTTTTTTTTTGTTGGCGATGTACAGAATTAAAGTGATTTTTTTACAAACTGAATCTAAGTTGTTTTATTTTAGCATATAACCCATTCTAGGTGAAGGTTTGAGCACAACATAAAACATCTTTGAACAAATACTGTATGCGTAGTAATCATATTTCGTCCCCTTTAATCCAGAGGCTTCATAAACAAAATTACTTTTACTGTGACTTAACTGGCATAGTTCAAAGAGAATGTTATGAACATCTCCAAAAGATTATTCTTTTACTGTTGTTTTGTTTATAGATAAGGTAAATGTTCAGAACAAAATTAATTCGTATGAAGATACAACATAAAAATGGTAAACTGAAATGTGTTAATGCCATAAAATTGCCAGAAGAATTGTCACTGGGGCGGTGCAATGCCTGCTGCTTATATACACTACCATATATTTTTACTATTTAAAAAAACTTTTCTATTTGAATATTTTTTTAAATATAATTTATTCCTGTAATTAATACTTTTATTTAGCAAGGATGCTTTAAAATGATCAAAAGTGATGATAAAGACCTTTATAAGGTTAGCCTAAATACTGTTCTTCTGAACTTTCTATTCATCAAAGAAACCAATCAGAATGATTTCTGAAGCATTCTAATGATGATAAAAATTCAGCTTTGAAAACACAGGAATAAATTACATTTTAAAATATATTCAAATAGAAAACAGTTATTTTAAATAGTAAAAATATTTCAAAATTTTGCTGTACTTTGGATCAAATAAATGCAGGGTTGGTGAGCAGAAGATACTTTTTTTTTTTTTTAAAACATTAAAAACCTTACTCTTCAAAAACATTTGACTGGTAGTGTATGCTCGTAGCGATGAATGATTAGGCTCCTCCCGAACCTATGTTTGGAACTATATTTATTTTAAAGAAATTTAGCACACTTTTTAAGCAAAATATTTCACAGGAAGAAATTTGTTCGTGAGTAACGTACATAAACCAGCAGATGTCGCTGCTGCTACAATAAGGAACATCACTAAAACTAAATGCCTTTTAAGTAAAAGTCCTTAGAAGATCTATCCGTCTATCATAAATGGTTAAGTAATGCTTATTAAAATCTACTTTTAGTATTGATGACAAGGGTTAAACGCTCAGAACTGCAAATCTACCTCATAAACGGAAGGTCAGCGTGAGCATATCTATCCATCTAAGTTCAATCTATCTGTCTGTCTGTCCAAAATGTTTAAGTAATACTTATTAAAATCTAATTTTCTTAGTAATGACAAGGATTAAATGCTCAGAACTGCAAAATCTCCCTCATAAGCGGAAGTTAATGTTAGCAAAACTTGCAGGAGGACTCTGAAGCACAGTGTCTGAGTGAGTTTGATGTTTTCAGACGTGCAGTGAGGGAACAGTGTGGACAATGGGGCTGTTTTTATGCTGTGCAGATGTACTCTACATCTCTGACAGCAAATCTGAAGTGTCGTATAGGCCAAGAGTGAAGTGAAGGAAGAGCTGCGTAGCTGTTGTTATTCACAGAGCTCACACTTAAGGGGTCATATGATGTTGCTAAAAAGAACATTATTTTGTGTATTTGGTGTAATGGAAATTCAGTACCTTTATATTATATGTTGGAAATCAAAAAAATAAATAAATCCAAAAAAAATAAAATAAAAGCAAGGTGTGCTGTGATTGGCCAGCTATTCAGTGCATTATGATTGGCCAAATACCTCAAGCGTGTGACGGAAATGTTACGCCCCTACCATATTGTGATGATGCCCTGTCAGGCCGGAGCGATGATTCAAAAACATGAAAACCCAATAAAAACTAAACCTT